TCAAATTGTTTTAATTTGACTTCCTTGTAATGATTTCAAGATGATTGGGAAACTTAGCCCAGTCGGTACAACCCTCGTCATTCGGTCGAACGTGATTGGCTGCCATCCTAATGATGATAAGAATCATCACGGTTGTTGAACAGACGATCGGTCAATGTCGAGATGTCAACTGTGTGTGATGAATGGGAGGACAACTTCTATTGTGACAGGCGGGCAGAAGATATATATTTATATGTCGTACATAACGATACACGTCCCTATTTAGATATCCAACATTACATATATATATATAGTTAAACCTGTCTATAGCGCCCCCTCTTGGGACTCACCAAAATAGGGTGCTATAGACAGGTCACTTTTAATGTAAATCGCATCTTACTACGTATTTAAAATCGGGCGCTATTTAGAGGGGGTGCTAAAGACAGGTTTAACTGTATATATATATATGTTATATAAAGGTATTATTTAAAATATTTTATTTAGAATTATGTTATATTAGGGTGTTATTTTATTTAAAATTATATTTCATCGATTCAAATACTCTGTTTAAATCGACCGCCAGAGGTCACGCTTTCTCTATAAATACCTATTGTTGTTGTTCCCCAATGGCCGACCCAAAACCTTTGTACATTATGTAAATAATCTTTTGTTTTCCTTATTCTTCTCGCCTTAAGCCAGGCATTACTTTTATCAAATTATGTTCTTCATATTACCTTAGCTCAATTTTGAAATTTGAGATTGAGAAATCAAGAAATAGATATTTAAGACCAAACTTGTGTAAATACGCTAAAAATATTTTAAAATATTGAAATAAAGATGTTGTCAGATGTTGAGATTAAGAACAAATTAGGCAAGTCCCGACCATTAACATGAGCGTGATTTCTCAAGAAGTCTCTTGGACCAAAAGATTTTGGTGACACAATATTATATTTGTAACGTTTCCTATTTAGAAATAGACACAATACGTTGTGTTTTTGGTCGTTGAGGTACAGCTTGCACCACGCTGATGAGGGCCAACAGCCCGAAACGCGTCCGTGGTTAGCTTTTCTTGATTAATCAAGAATGAGTATTTGGCCAATTCTGGAATAATTAAAAATCAACGAGAATAGTTGATATTTATTCCGATTGATGGCGCAAGCCATCAGCAACTTTCAGTTGCACGATAAGGAGATGCTCTTTTTTCATAACAATACTTTGTGTTTTGATATATAATTACAACAAAGTAACCATAATATAAATACAAAACAAAACTTATACAAAATCACAAAAAATGAAAAAAAGTACAATGTTGCCGACTGCCTAACTATGAAGAAAAATCAGAGAATAATTAAATATTTTACATAAATAAATAGAAATATGTTACAATATTATACAATTATTTTCAATAATAAAATATATAAAAAGAAAAAAGGTAAAAGAGGAATGTAAAATTTAAAATCGATCTCTAGTTAATAAAAAAATGTTTTGCTACTTTTAGCCTTACGACAGCCTTGTCGAACTGAAAATATTTGAAAGGTAAATATTTGTCTGATAAGAGGGCTGTTGTGAAAGTTTGTATAGCTGAGGGATATCACGATTCGTTTCTAGTGGAGAATGTTTCTTTTTGTGGCATTGTACAGTACGTGTGTTGTTTCTCACTGTGTATTTTTCCACTGATCATGTCATGGACAAAACTTTAAAAAGTTTCATATTTTAAGTGAGAGTATTTAATGTCGCTCGGTTGTCTATTTTTTTAAGGAGACAGAGGCTGTTCACACTTGGTTATCTCGTATATCTTAAATAAAAGTCACTATATATCAAATATCTATCAGAGTTATTGTCTGAATCCCGATATACATGCTAAAAGGTAAAACTTTCTTAAGTATTGTCCATGAGTGTATATTAGTTATCTCGTGTGTCTTCAATAAAGGTCGCTGTGTATCAAATATCTATCAGAGTTATTGTCTGAATCCCGATATACATGCTAAAAGGTACAACTTTCTTAAGTATTGTCCATGAGTGTATATTGGTTATCTCGTGTGTCTTCAATAAACGTCACTGTGTATCAAATATCTATCAGAGTTATTGTTTGAATCCCGATATACATTCTAAAAGGTACAACTTCCTTAAGTTTTGTCCATTAGTTTATATTGGTTATCTTGTGTGTCTTCAATAAACGTCACTATATATCAAATATCTATCAGAGTTATTGTCTGAATCCCGATATACATGCTAAAAGGTACAACTTCCTTAAGTTTTGTCCATTAGTTTATATTGGTTATCTCGTGTGTCTTCAATAAAGGTTACTATATATCAAATATCTATCAGAGTTATTGTCACAATCCCGATATACATGCTAAAAGGTACAAATTCCTTAAGTATTGTCAATGTGTGTATATTGGTTATCTCGTGTGTCTTCAATAAAGGTCACTGTGTATCAATTATCTATCAGAGTTATTGTCTGAATCCCGATATACATGCTAAAAGGTACAACTTCCTTAAGTTTTGTCCATTAGTTCATATTGGTTATCTCGTGTGTCTTCAATAAAGGTTACTATATATCAAATATCTATCAGAGTTATTGTCTGAATCCCGATATACATGCTTAAAGGTAAAACTTCCTTAAGTATTTTCCATGAGTGTATATTGGATATCTCGTATGTCTTCAATAAAGGGACTATATATCAAATATCTATCAGAGTTATTGTCTGAATCCCGATATATATGCTAAAAGGTACAACTTCCTTAAGTATTGTCCATGAGTTTATATTTTTTATCTCGTGTTTTCAATAAAGGTCGCTGTGTGTCATATAACTATCTGAATTATTGTCTGAATCCCGATACCTGTCAGAATGAGAAAATAAATTTTATAAGATGAATAATTAACAATATATATATCAAATAAATAAATACATTCCTGATTTGAATTTGTTTTTAAAAGATACGTATAGACTGGCAAAATTTCAACAACAGAAATGAAATCCGGAACTTTTCGAATCCACGTTCATATATTTATTATAATACTTTTTTGTTTAAAAAATGCAACCACTGAGCTGAAAAGATATCGCATTCCGATTAGCTAACGAATTCAACGCTGATTAGTTTATTAAGGTCATATTATATAAAAGAAACAATAAATGAGTAGTAAACCGTACCCTATATACAAATATGCATATATATAATTTATTAGGTAACAAAAAGGCATATATTGAATTGAATAAAAAGATTGTTTTGCCAATATTTCGGTTGGCTGAACACCAATCTTTGTCAAGGCATGACAACGTATTTATGCTGTTTATATAAATAGTGACTTGTGAAGCATTCGTGATAGTTGTGTAGCAAGTGGTAAAGACGCAAACAGGAGACAAGATTCAAGAGCAAAAACTTGTGAGGAGTAGAACGGAGAGGAAAGAGAGAGAGTCCGAGGACCACCCTGGGAACAACTAGCATGGAGAGGATCTCAGTGAGAACTGTTCTTGATAATCAAATTCGAGTGCTTCACGCTATTATAAGTTGGCTCAAATAATGACTTGTGAAGGGGAATGTTAACATCAGTTTCCCAAAACTTCCATTTATAGAAAACAGGATATGTGGTCGACTAGGGGTATGATCTTACTAGCCAACTTTCCTCACGGGTTATCTTTATTTACATATGTCTAAAAGATAAATTTCTACATTTGATAATCTGGACGCCCGCTGAAACGCTTCGTGGACCAATTAAAGGAACTCAGTGGCTTAACGGTTGCCTAGATGGTACATCGAGTTTAAGACAGAGATGGCTGGTGTCATATCATGTTTGGGATATAATACGTGCAGTAGGCCACATAAAATGATTTACATTCATTGTGAAATATATATATATTTAAACTGATTTTTATGTCGTATATTTTATAGTATATTTGTTTACATGAGGGAGAGAAAGAGAAAATAAACAAAAATAAATATCCCCAGAAAACTCGCTCTTCAGTCGTAATTATGCAAATTTGCTTCTATTCATGAGGCCCATTTTCATTAGGTTTAAAGTATAGCGGAGTGTGTTTGGCCAATAATAGATATTTGCTTCAATAATTATTTGTTAATTACCGTATCAATAATTGAGGAAGATGCTAATTATCTAGCAGGTGGGATCCCTAATTAACTATACCTTTCCCTTAACTACCTTTCCATATATTTATAACTATCACCTGTTTAACTATTCATTAGATGTAGTAGTTTATTTCTGTTTGTTTTATTCGTAGAATGTTGGAGGGATAAGAGATTTTTAATCTATAAAATATTTTCATATTTTTATAAAATATGAAGAGATTACAATATACAAAAACAAAAAGGCTTTTATTAGGGTCCATTGCCCTGTATGGATTCGCCATACAACAACAAAACAATACAGTAATTCCTCTCCCTTTCGCCTTGTGCACGCGAGTCTTTGATTACAATATACTATATTTCTGCAAAATTTCTTTCTCTGTGAAAAAATATTGCAAGGTGAAAATGTACTTGGATCAGGTGGATATATTAAGAAAAAAGACATCTCCTGATGGTACAGCTAAAAGTTGTTGATGGCTTGCGCCATCTATCGGAATGAATATCAACTATTCGTTAATTTTTAATTACTCCATAATTGGCCAAATACCCATTCTTGATTAATCAAGAAAAGCTAACCATTTACGCGTTTCGGGCTGTTGGCCCTCATCAGCGTGGTGCAAGCTGTGCCTCAACGACCAATAAACTGGTTATTCAGGCATCCTGAAAAAATCATGAAACGGGTAGTTATGTCCAGAATTGGATGAGAACACGAAACAAAGTTTAAGAAAGAATGGGTATTTGGCCAATTCTGGAATAATTGAAAAGTCAACGAATAGTTGATATTTACTCCGACAGATGGTGCAAGCCATCAGCAACTTTTCGTTAAACGAACAGGAGATGCCTTTTTAAAAATTCCATCTCTATGTTTTGGCCACAGAATTAGCCTAGTTATTTAACCAGCAGAACACCTCTTCAGAAAATTTCAAAAATTTCCTCGTGTCAGAATGGCCGATCTGTATAAGACGCTACGTTCAGGTTGCAGTCTACAATAAAGGCGTGGGTTCGAATCCCACTTCTGACATTTTTCCCGGATAGTTAGCATTTTCAGTACGCTCCAGGAATCCGGGTAATATAAAGAGATATTTATCCTTGTAGATTGCATGAAATTAGCTCACTGGTCAATTATTGCACGAACTCGATAAGTGTTTATAATCTCAATGGCATTATGATACAGGAATTTTTTTTTTATAATTGTCCCTAGTATACGTGGTACAGGCCATGATAATCATGGTGGGTAGAAGAAGGCGACTGCTTTTACTGTAAGTACACCACATGTCTACACATGTGAAAAAGAGTTCCACTTTGCACTTACAAATGTGCCAGAGCGCTATTTGGTTCCTTGCACTCGTTGGTGGGGTTGGACTTTGGCAAGAATCGGGAGCCATTTGAACATTTTTTTAATAAGAAAAAAAGTTCTTAATGTGGGAATCGATCCCGCGTCGTAGCGGTCGAAACCCAACGGTTTTAAACCATCCTTCCACCGACTCCCATGTGATACAAGAATAATACAATATAATATAATGCGGCTTATGATTGTAAAACGACATTTTAAAATTATACCGCATGTGTTTCTTTTCAACGAAAAATCCTAATTCATTTTAAGGAGAAATAATGATTATTTCTAACCTTAGAGATGAAGTATGAAAGGATGAATTGTGAAGAGTAATGATAAACGGAAATATAAAAGTGTCCAGGGATGGGAAACGAACCCAAAGTGTTCCGCTTACCGGACAGATGCCATGTCCACAACATAGAGATTGAAACAATTATATTGACATCTAGTCAATAATACATAATAAATGAAAAATGATGGGAATATTTACAATGAATTATAAGAAAGGAAGGCTCCACCATCTTGATAGGGTCCTCCTCCAGACCAGGAGAGGGTCCTCTTGGACCCTCCACATCTCCAAGGCCAGGAAGTGCCTATATATACAACAACAACAACAAAAAGCTTTATTAAGACAATTTAGTCTTATACGAATTCTCCAAGCACAGAAATGTAGGATACATACAAGAATAACAGTAGTAACAACAACAAAAGTCCCTGTTATGACCTTTTGGTCTTATATAACTTCTCCACGTAAAAGAGGGTATATACAACAGTTACAATAATTAGCAATGCTATTTACAATGTGTCAAGGGGGATAGTAGCAGGAAAGGGGTTGCTGGGGAAGTAGAATATTAACATGGGTAGATGTTATTATATCTCTTGAGGAAAGATTACGCGACAATAAAGTGCCTATATATACCTGAAGAGATAAAAGTTAATGCAAATAAGCTGGCACATATGTAAGTGCAAAGTCGAACTGCTTTTCACATGTGTAGATATGTGGTGCACTTACAGTAAAAGCAGTCACCAACTTCTACCCACCATGATTATCATGGCCTGTACCACGTGTACTAGGGACAATAAAAAAGATATTCCTGTATCATATGATGAATTATAGAGCACCATCTTTTATACTAAATTTAAACTATTTGGTGTTGCCACTGATGAGCCAGGCCCTCTCATTATTTTATCATTGCAGTAAGGGCAGTAGAAATTGATTTTTTTTAATCATACGCGTCAAAAATAAATTAAATTTAAGGTAATAAGACCAAATCCAAATAAAAAAATAGTGTGTGACGTTTCGGTAACAGCGTTGTTACCATCTTCAGACAAAAGTACTGAATGAAATTCATTTTCTTCAGCTCATAGGAAGAATAACTTCTTAGGTCCATTGAAGTCAAATAAAATTGTGCCTTATCAATAATTTAAATTTCTTATACAAGTAACGTACAGTATTTATTTTCTAATGTATATTTTATTATGAAATTTCGAGATAGTGTTCCTTGTAGAACTCTCTCGAAATAATAGAATACGTTATACTTTTGATTCAAGTTGAGCGCTTCCCTGTAATCAATAATTGTATAGTCGCACCTATACTTCTGTTTGACAAAGAATATGTGTTGCAGAGGCCTTCAAACTCCGGGATCTTGCAGACAATTGTAAAGGAGATTATGGTAAGTTGGAATTTGCATATCTCATTCCATATCTACATATGTGAAACAAGAAAATAAGACCTAATCCAAATAAATTGAAGAGAAACATCCGTGCTTTAATGATTCTATTTCTCATGCATAGATAACACGTTATCGCCTTATAATTAAAGGAAGATGTGCCTCTTTCGGTGTATATATGTACCAAATGTTACACCTCTTCCTTTCAAATTGCATTAAAAAACAAACTATATATATATACTTTTATGATATAATTTTATTAGGACAGTGTAAAGAGGACCAAAAGTTCTCGGGAAGCGATAAATATATATAGGAACCAGAAAAGTTGTACCTCTCCCTTTAAAAATACATTAAAATAATACTTTTGGTAAAAAATACATATATAAAGCAGGGAGCGTCAGTGATAAACATATTTATATGTAAATATACTATTCTAAAATTGCACTGTGATAAACCTAAGGTATTATTTTTATGTATTTTTAAAGGGAGAGGTGCCCCTTTTCTGGTAACTACTCGTATATATATTTATCGCTCCCCGATTTTTTTTTTGTCCTCTCTACAGTGTCTTGATACAATTTTGACAACCCAGGAGACGATGGTAGACCATTGTAGAGACATCAGAAAAACCATCGAATTCTATATACAGTTACGAGCGTCATTCTTCATCAGTCATCTCTGTCACCGTTTGCTTTTTTTTTTTTTTTTTTGGAATGGCGCCCTCCTATTGGTCTGCTACGATCACGCCACCTTTGCCCCCCCCATCATGCCCCCCCACACTCGCTTTTTCGTTTTTGTAACCATTGTGTTGGAGCGGGTCGCTCCTTAAATAAATGCATATATTAGTTAATAACCAAATGGAATCCTCTCTTTCTTTTTCCCAGTAAGAGACGCCTACGGAAGCCAACAGTACATAGACAGATAAAGCACATAGGCTATAGTTATTAACTAACATATGCATTTATATAAGGCGCCAATTTATAATTGTAAAGTATAGTATTTGAATCAAAACATTCAATCGGGTAAAACACGGGCGTTGCCCGGGTCATTCGGCTAGTAGAGGTATACACTTAAGAAGTGAACGTGAATTTAAGATGGTTCAATGATGAAAATATAGCAGTAATATTATATAATATTAGGTGAAAGAAAAATTTTAAAATTAAAAAAAGCACAAAAAGTCATTAATTTGTACAAAAAAGTTCAACGTATATACGAGTATATTCATTGTTATATATTTTTAATAATGTTAGAAATAGATTCGACAACGTTGTGTTGTAAATATAAGATGTAATCGAATAAACTTTTTTTTTTCCATTGTTTACCGCCTTCGATGTCACACCTCAAGTATGTACTTTTATTGTGTGTTATATTGTTGCACCAGGTTGCGGCTTGGCAGACTCTTCAGCCTTGATTCTCTCCTGTGCTGGGTCGTGCATCTTACCAGAGCGTGTTTCAACCATCCTACAAATTTATAAAAGGGAATAACGAGATAAGTTTACTTTAAGTAGCCACCAGAATCCTTTATTTATTTTCTCACATCAAAGAGAGCAGTGAAGTCACAGTGTACCTAAATACAAATGATGACAATCTAAATAATCTGTGTTTTAAATAAATATCATAGAATATTTTATATAAAAATAAATAAATATATAATTTAAATTTCAAATATATTAAAAATAATATAAGAAATACGCCATTAATCGTGATGTAACACTTCCCCCTCTCCAGAGGTCGTCACGTCCTCGTGAGTTACCTTATCAATTCTCTCAAAATAGGGTTTGAGTCTTGAGACATGGACAATCAATGGGTCTTGGCCAGGATTATCTTTTGGCTCAATTAAGTAATTTACGTTAGACAGCTTCTTTAATATTCTATATGGGCCAAAATATTTTCTCAGTAGTTTCTCACACTTTCCTATTTTCCTAATTGGTGTCCAAACTGCTACTAATTCTCCTGGTTCGTAGCTTCTTTCCATGTGTTTCTTGTCATAGTTCTTTTTCATTCTTTCTTGAGTCTTTATTGTGTTGTTAATAACTAATTTTCTTGTTCTGTTTATTTTGTTTAAGTGATGTTTTATGTATTCATCATAATCATCTTTGTCAATGTCCACCGAGATATTCCTGTCGTCCAAAAGAGACGTGGGTTCTCTTCCAAACATCAGGAAAAAGGGAGAATATCCTGTGGTTTCCTGAATTGTAGTATTGTAAGCGTGAGTGATGAATGGGAGTATTTCGTCCCAATTTTTCTGATCAGTGTTCACATACATACTGAGCATATTGATCAATGTTCTATTTAACCGCTCTGTCAATCCATTAGTCTGGGGATGATAGCTCGTTGTGAAGCAATGTTTAATCTTGCACGTTTTCATCACCTCTTTCATTAAATTACTGGTAAATTGAGAGCCTCTGTCACTAATAAGATATTGTGGGGCTCCGTGCCGAAGAAAAATATCCTCTACTAGAAATTTAGAAACTTCTTTCACTGTTGCTTCCGAGACTGCTCTTGTTTCTGCATATCTAGTGTAGTAGTCCGTCAGCACGATTATCCATTTTTTCCTGTTTTTCGTAGATGGTAGTGGACCAACAAAGTCAATTCCAATTCTTTCGAAAGGAAAGTTGGCTGGGGGGATGGGCTGTAGTAGTCCAGAAGGTAATTGGTTTGAGCCTTTCCTACTTTGGCAAAGGTGACACGTCTTAACGAATTCTGAGACATCCTTTAGCATGGATGGCCAAAAGTATTTACTCTTTATTCGGTACATGGTTCTGGCGACGCCCAGATGGCCATTCGACATATGATTGTGATATTCTTTCATAATTTCTTTCTTTTTATTCTCTGGAACCACAAGCAACCACGCCCTGCCTTCAGGGTTCGGGTTTTTCTTAAAGAGGCATCCATCTTCTTCTTTAAAGTTTTGCGCAATTGATCGCCTGCTTCCATTAAGGTTTTTCTTAACACTTTCGATAAATTTATCCTCTTCGTCTGTTATTTGATTTAAAAATAGCCTTTCAAAATCCTCATCCC